CACTTCCTGCCTCCCCCTTGCAGGAGCCTTTCTCTGACATATCACAAAGTAGATGTAGCTTTTCACTACAATGTCTAGGTATACATACCTAAATGTCACTTAGAGATATGCAGTCTAGATATCGACTAATTAACAGAAAGCCCTCAATAAAATGGATCACAGTGCTGACAGAGCAATATTAATGGTGCAAAAGTATATGCTTTTAAAAGACATACTTTAGTAACATACATTATCAGTAGTAACATACATTCACAAAATACATGTTCTACATGCATGTTTTTATGTAGGAATGAATTTAAAAATAATTCTCATTTGATATTAATAAATATATAATATTTAATATTAACACACACAATGATCTCAGTATCTTAATACTTGCTTCTTTGCATAGAAATGTTTAACATTTTTCTTATTTTTCTGAACTGATGTTCAGGTTGAGCAACAATTTAAGAGTAAAATGCATTACAGAAAAGCTGTAATTATCTCCAAAACAAAACAAGAATTGGAAATCTAGGAAATCTAGATTCAAGGATAAACTTCAAAATAAATCCACGTTAAAGTATGGTACAGCAAAGGCACCTAAATAACCTTAATGCTATTTATCTCTGTCATGTGTTTTATCCTTAAATTGCTTATCCAACGTACTCCCATTTAATTATTACTATGATTATAGTACATTTACACCATTTACATTCATTTTAGCTACAGATTCTATTTCTGAGGACATAAACATAGAAAAAACATAATACTACTTCACTTTCCTTAGCATTTTCCATACAAATTATATCTCAAAGAACTTTAGAGAGTTCAATATTATACATTATACAGAGTAAGTCACCAAACAAACAAACAATAAGAGGTATAAAAGCATGATTATAATGAATAAAAAGTATCCAGCAAATTGCAATGAGAGAGCAAGCTACTAGAAGGCATACATTAAGATGACATTAAAAAAGAACTAGTGTGTCAGTGAAGTGCTAGAATAAGAGGGACATTCAGCCTATCAAGAATAAAACACATTATTTTATCTGCAGCACTATAATTGTTAGATTGCTCACTTCCATTTACCATGCAATATGCTGTAGAAATTAGACTCTCCACCTAACAAAGCTAAGGACTAGAGGCATCCTTAAAGATGCAGATAATTGTTATTTTGTCCAAAAATGCATAGAGAGTGTATCGAGAAAATACAAGTTTCCTTTCTGTGCTAGGTTAATTTGAATCCACAAAACAGCAATGATATTAACAAATCTTCAACTAATGAGCATTATATGATAAATACCATGCTCTCAAAATGAGGGGGAAATTTTACGAAAAAGTAAAATACAAGTTACATGCACTTCATAAAAAGTGAATAATAGGTCAAATTTTGGGCTTAATTTCAGTAAAGTCACAATTTTATTACAAATGAACAAAGTAGGAAATAATTTAGATTTAATACTTCTAGGAGAATACTGGGGAACAATGTGAGTTAATGCCACTTCTACATTCTGGTCGCTGAATTGATAACACATGTTATTACAGGAAAGCATCTGAAATACATTTGTTAATCTTGCTTATATAAAAATGAAAACTATTCAACTCTTCCCAGAAGGGAGTTTTGAATTATTATTTCTAAAACGATGATGCCCAGTGAGCATTTTACATTGCCTGTGTGATGGGGCACTAGTCCACTGGGGTTAAAACAGCACTGAGTGACGGCTGAACCTGGGACCTAATCAGAAGAGAGCTAGGTCCACTGGGGTTAAAACAGCACTGAGTGACGGCTGAAGCTGGGACCCAATCAGAAGAGAGCTAGACAACACAGTCAATCAGGGTCTGACTAGTCCCTAATCGAAGGGTTTCTGGAGGAGTTTACTCTAGCTCCAACTCCAGAAGCCTAGCTGTCTACTAGCCAGAGAACCTGAGAAAGAGAAGTGCTGGGGAAGGAGCAAGCAGCACTGGGAGCTTTGACCAAGCAAACTCAAAGGCTGCCTTGCTTTCAACCCCAGAGGGGTATTACGGCTGCCCTTGCCAATGATGAGTAGCCACTAAAACAAGGTAGGGATAAAAGGTTGGGGTTCCCCAGGAGGGGAAGACCCCGGAGTGTGGGGGGCACTGCCATGGGACAGTACTATGAGGTAAGGGACACCATGCACCTGGAAGGACATGGGAGTCTGAAGTCTTTGACAAGATGACAGGTAATTAAGAGTCAGAAGAGTCTCAAAGTTTGGATTAACTGACTTAGGTCCATTGAGCTTGCACTACAGGGCTAAAAAATTCAGTGACTATTTCCTACTTGAGCTGAAACCAAGGGTCTCAGAGATTGGGCTCCAGTATAAGCTCTTTTTAGCTCTGGAAATTTGAACCAGTTCATAAAATCATAATCATAGGGTTGGAATAGGCCCCAGAAGGTCATAGAGTCCAACCTGCTGCTAAAAGCTAAATGTTGACTCATGCGCTACCATATTTTTTTTATTGCAGTATAGACATACCTACACAGTCCATTCTCAATGTGCTTCTTCATATTTGAATATCTTTGAAATAAATGTTCCATTTTGATCCATGGCAAGGTACATTGAGATATTTGGTAGTTTGATGAAAGTATGTTTTGTCTGTAATATCCTTGCTGAGGTGTGCTGCGGGCCTTTTTTTTTTTTTTTGCAGTGTAAACATATCGTGAGCAACTTAAGACCAAAACAAAAATGAAGAAAAAATCCCCACTGTTTTTCCAGTTCATAGCTAGTTATATGATCTAAGGCCCATATCCACAAAAAGAATTAGGCTATCACCTTAGCACCTAGACCAGGGGTGGGTAACCTAAGTAAGGCCCGTTTGGGGGTGTTTTTTTTCTGTTTCTCATTTTTGTGCAGTCCCCAACCATGGGTCCATCATCTAGGTTCCCCATCCCTGACCTAGATGATGGACTTGGGTGTCTAATGATACACACAATACCCTCTAATCTTGGAGGTGACTAAAATACTTAGGAGCCTACGTTTCTGCTAGTGGGCCTGAGTTCATCTACCTTAGTCTAGGCAGATGGGTGTCTATCCAACACGTAACCCTCAATGAGATCCTCAACAAAGGTGCTCCCCTGCCAGCGTGCAGGGCTTGATCCACAAGGTATTCTCAAAGCAAACACAAATCCCCACAAAAAAGCAGAGGCCAAGGAGGCAGCAGCCTCCCTTAAAATATTTAGCCCTATGATGATCTCATTTGGGATGTGATTCACTTCCCCTCTCTGCTTGATAGGAAGCAGAGATTTTTACTTAGATTTCCCATGCCTCATGTGTATGACCTATTAACTCTATAAAATCCCTCTCTCTCTCTGGCCCAATATATATTATATTATTTACATACAGTAGAATGGCTTTAACAGAAGAGACTGAAATAGACTCTCCTCAGGCCTTGTCTACACTGGCATGTTTTGTCACAAAAAACTGCCTTGTGACAAAACAGCAAGAGCATTTACAATACAATGCAACTTTTGTTGGGAAAAATACCCAGTTTTGGCAACAAAAAGCTTCCACCCCTGCAAGAGACTTTTTTTTCTCCTTTCCTTTATTGTAAACAAAAAGCCAACATGGACTCTGATGTTTGTTCTGTTGAGAGAACTGGCTTCTGCCAGTATCCCACAGTGCCTGCCCTGATGGTGTCCTCAGTGTTTTGTGATTTCTGGTGCCCTGGAGGCATGTGTCCCTTCCCCTCTCAAAGCTGTGGGAAGTATCTAACACCTGAGAGAGCTGCTTCATTTGGGGAACAAGCAAAGAACAAATCATTGGAATGATCCTGTTCTGCCCTGCACTACGATCACAGCAGCAGGCAAACTGCTGCTGCAAGGAAAGGTCTGGAGAAACTTCTGTGCTGCTCTGCCTTCCGCAACACTGCACTGATCCTTACCCACATTGCTATGCTCTATCTTTAGACAGGGTGCCAGCAGTGAAATGTGGACAATGGGAGTCAGAAAAACTGGTTTGACTGGTTTTCACTTTTGGCAACTTTTGAATGTGGACAGTACTTTCATTGCCAAACCTTCACCATGTAGACGTAGCCTCAACTAGCCCAGTGTCCAGTGATAACGGTACTCGTACATTCTGGGAGAGTGCTCTGACTACTGAGCTAAAGGTTCTAAGGGATGCCATTCTCACCGTCACCTCTCCCCACATGCGTTTCTAGCAAATATGTGTTGGCACAAGTGTTCAGTGCTGAGACTCCCAAGTAGCAAAAAGCACTTCACATCAGCCCAGATGACTAAGGCCAGGTCTAACCTAAAAAATTAGTTTAAGCACCCAATTTTGAGAGAGGTGTGAGACTTAGGCCACACTACTGTTACCAGCATGTTCTATTACTTACTTTGTGCATTTCTTCACTCAAATTACTGGCTTTTGTTCCTAAGCATCTAACTCTCATGCTACATTGTTTAGAGAGACTAGGCCACTACCTTGGGGTTGTGGATTTCTCTGGATAGTAAGGTACCTTACAACTCTTAAGTATTGCACTGCTTAAGTCTCTATGGCTGTGTCCAGACTCAAGGGTTTTTTCGAAAAAAGTAGCCTTTTTTTCTAAAAAACTTCACCTACTACATACTAGACTGCAGCCGTGTTCTTTCGAAATTAAATTGAAAGAATGCGGCTTTTCTTTCGATGGCAGTAAACCTAATTTCACGAGGAAGAACGCCTTTTTTCGAAAGTGCTCTTTCGAAAAAAGGCGTTCTTGACTGCAAACAGGGCGTTTTCGAAAGAGAGCATCCAGACTGCCTGGGTGCTCTTTCGAAAAAGCGGCTTGCTTTTTTGAAAGTTCCGCTTGCAGTCTAGACGCTCTTTTTCGAAAGAGGCTTTTTCAAAAGTATCTTTCAAAAAAGCCTCTTTCGAAAGAGGCTTGCAGTCTAGACATAGCCTATGTGGAACTTACCACCCTCTGCCCCTCACACACTCCCCCCAAAAACATATAATTTATATCCCAAAATTTTAATACTTAAAGGCAAATAAAAAAAAGAATTAACTGTGTTATGTGGTAGAAGAAAGGGGGTTGGTTTTGTATATTTATCATTATAAATGCACATTATAGAAAACCTGAATAAACTAGGAAAAAACTTTAGAGTGAAGAATTCTTTGTTTTAATATTACATGCATAATTTTTAAATTTTCTATTAGGAAATTAGAAAAACACTAATCAGAGTCCCCTAAAACTAAGCGAACAGTAAAACTTGCTGAAGCAAGTATGGGATTGATATCTATCAATTTTGCAACATCAGAAAGGAAGGATTTGAGTTATCTAAAGGTAATCATCAAATTAGGGCTCACAAACAATTGATTGCAGGTGTGCCTGTAATGCCTTCACTGGAGGTGTTTGTGAGCCTGTAACTACTAAAACTCAATTTTAGAGCCGTGGAAGCAAACACTCCTGGATTGGATTCAGGATCACTGTCAAGGGAATCTGTGCCTACACAATGTTTCAGAGTGTATCTCTGGGCCACAATGTGAAAGTAATTGCAAAGAGTGAATCATAGACGGATTGCCCAAGTTACTACATCAGCCAATGATGATACTAAAAGGTAATTATGATCTTGTTATAGAACCATTACAAGGAAACAGGACTTGATAATTAAATACCATATTACTATATTATAACCCTCTGAAGAACAACCTATTCAACTATGGTCAATTTAAGAAATAAAAACATAACTCCTAGAATTAGTCCTTCATCTGTAAGCTTCACAACTCATTTTCAAAGTAAAATTTTTTTAAAAATCTCAAAAAATTCTCTGCTACAACAGATTTCTTCAATACCTACCTCGTTTAGAGGAAAGGATAATGAGTAAGCTATATTGAAAAGGATTTGGAGGGCACGCATTTAACATTGATTTTCAGTGTTTTGGCAAATAGAATCAAATCATACTATTTACCATTTAGGCATCTTACCACTCAGTGAAATCCATAGCCCCAAGTATTGGCTTAGGCTCCCTAACTACACTGCATGAGAATTAGATACTTAGGAATGCAATTTGAGTGGAGAAATGGTCTGCAGTTAGAAAACATTTATGGCCATTTCAGGATATACCAAATGGCACCTCTTCTTCCATTGTTGTTGTTTTGGATTCATACTAATTGTCTTGAAGTTTGAGAGAAACCTATATAAAAATTACTATTTTATTTGATAATAAGCTCAATTTTACATGTTTTGGTATGATGCATGGTGCCACATCTTCTAAGTTTATTCAGTGCATAGTGCCTTGTAGTACAAGAAATAAATTATTGTATTAGCAAAAATAACATATCCCACAACAATTTATATCTGAACTATTGGCAATTCTTAAGAAGTTTAATGGGAAGGTTACTTGATATTTCAGGTGAACTAAAGCTTGGAATAAGGGCGTGGGCCTAAACATTCTATACTTATGAATTACCTGCCAAGTCTGGATTCTATACTTAATATTGTCCATTATTTTATTTTTAATCTCTAATATTAAAAGTCACCTCTGTACCTGATGCTTTACATAAATTAAAAACCCTGAAAAAAATCTTCAAAATAAAAAAGCTTAATTACAGAAACCCTGCTCTCTGATATAAAAAAGGAGATAGTCCTTGCCCTTGTAAATATTCCTTGTAACTGTAGTTCTTTGAGATGTGTGTCCATATAGGAGCTCCACTTGTATTTGATTGGACATTTTCATTTTCAGCATTTGCTCATGCCTGCATATCTGATACTAACAACCTTGTGTATTGCTTCAAGACTGTATCAAGCTGCATGGGCAAACCACCCTCAGCTCCTTCTCTCCCATAAAACTATAGCAAAAGGGAAGACGACAGTAGTGGAGCACCCATAGAATGCACATCTTGAAGATCTACTGTGATTGCATGTGGTAAGAGAAATTATTTTCCCTGAGTAGTGTATCTATGGGTCTTTCACTTTACTTTATGGGTGAATCTTAAGGATATCCCCATAAGGAACAAGAAGCTTTGAGAACCAGTCCAGCACAGAACATTGCCAATTGACTCATCAGCTCTAGACACATTGGCTAAGACATAGTGCCTGCAGAAGATATGTACTGAAGATCATATAGCATATAGATTTGGAGATCTCACACACTGGGGCATTTTTTAATGACAGACATAGAGGCAAATTGTGACCACATAGAATGAGCAGACACACTGATAAGGGGTGGAATGTTGACAGCACAAACATTCTTTTGATGTTTAATGAAATGAAATGATTTAATCCTATCTAGATGGAAAAATAATGCCCTCCTGATGTCTATAGTATGGAGAGTGATCTCCTTGTTGAAAATATATGGTTTTGGAAAATACAATGGTAGGTAAATGATTAGATTAAGATGAAATTCAGAAAACATTTTAAGAAGAAACCTGGAATAGGGTTATAAGAAAATTCTTTCCTGGTAGAATACCATGGAAGGAGGGTCTGCTCTTAGGGCCCCAAGTTCCTCTGACTCTGTGGGCTGGTGTAATAACCACTAAAATGGTTGTTTTCATGGACAGATTCAGACAGGAGTAAGTTGCCATTAGTTCAAGAGAAGACATGAGATTTTTAAGAATCAAATTAAAGTCCCAAATTGGAGGGAGTTCTTTCACTGATGGGAAAAGCCTGTGTAAGGCCTTTCATGAACCTACAGGGATAAGGTAAGCAAACAGAGACAATAGTGACATGAAAAACTATTAATGCAGCTGAATGAACCTTCAGATCGCTAAGTGATAGATCCATTTATCTTAGTTACAACAGGTAGACCAGAACAACTGAAAATGAAACAGAATGGGAACAGCATTCTGGATTTTACACCAGTAAGAAAACCTTCACTTTTGATGGTGCATATTTCTGGAAGAATCTTTCTTTGTATCACTGTAGAACAGAGTGACTAACTCCATGAACCATCAAGAAGCCATGCCTGGAAGTGGAGAATGCTCAGATTCAGATGCAGCAAATGTCCAGCATTATGGGACAGAAGACGAGCAGTGAGTGGGAGAGTTATCATTGAACAAATGTCTACATGAAACAGGTAAGGAAACATGTCTGCTTCAACTACACTGGGGTAATCAGGATAACTTGGGTCTCGTCTTCTTTGATTGTTTTCACTGTTTTGAGAATCAGAGGCATTGGAGGAAAATGCACAACATCTTCTTTGAATGAGGAGGAATACTTATCCCAAGGAACTGTGACCTAGACTTCGCTGCTTTGAACAGAAGAGATAGCATTTTTTGTTTGTTAGTATGGAAAAGTGGTCTACTTCTGGAAATCCCCCAATATGAAAAAGGGGACAAGAAATTCGGAATCCAATTCCCATTTGTTGTCTTGTATATAACACCTGCTGAGAGTATCAGCCCTAACATTCTGCCTTCATGGCAGATAAACCGCTGAAATGATTATGCGGCATTTTATACACCAGGTCTCTAACCTTATTCTTGCAGTGCAGAGGAAAGGGAATCTCACTCCTCAGTGCTGATTGATATAGAACATATAGGCTAAACTGTCTGTGATAGTTTAAATAGACCTAAATCTAAAATGCGACAGAAAATGAAAGCAGGCATTTCTTACTGCTCAGCGTTCCAGAGCAGTTGGGGGTGATCTCTTGAGGTGGCCATCTGCCCTGCACTTTTAAAGGATCAAGGTGTGATCCTCATCCTATCAAAGATATATCCATGGATACTGATATTGTTTGTGCCAGTTGGAGAAGGGAACCTCCATCCATACCTTGTGATGGACCTTGAACCAGATTGGGAAGCATCTGACTTCTTGAGTAATTGACATTGTTTCCTGAGCAAACCAATCTGAGCCACCCCTGGAAATAGTAATCCTTGGTGTTAGTGTAGCGGGGGCAACACTATGTAATTCCTGAGCTGGATCGTGGGAAAGGGAGGACTCCATCATTAACAGTTGAAGCTTAATTTCCCAGATCTTCTGTGCTCTGTATTTGAAAGACAAACAGAAGTTACACTTCTGTGGGACATGCAAATCTTCCAGGCACCAGACATCCTTAGAATATCCATCACTAGCTGGGAAAGCCATTTCACATGTGAAACAATGTTTAAACCCCAGTTAACCAGGCATGCTCTTTCACAGGGGGTGACTTTCCCAAAGTAAATAAAACAATCCTTTTCAGTAGCCAGAAAGTAGTACCACTGCACTAACATCTAACTATCATAAACAAACTACCAAGGTAAATTAAAACTAAATAGAATGAAACATACTGAGATGTCAAGGTGCGCACTGCAGAATGCCAAGTTCCATCTCAGGCTAAGACATATAAAGAAACTGAATGCTGTTTGCCAACACAAGCTGATATAGCTTCAGTGCAGAGCATGAGGTTGTCAGCAGCGCATACGTGGGCCAAATGGACACTGCTGATGAAAATCTGATCCAAGGCACGTCAGGTGCACAATGAGGGACACTACTTGGAGAATGATGCATCAGGAGGGAACAAAGATTTTAACTATGTAGTCTAGACACACCCAAAGATTTTAAAAAAATATTAGGCATAAAGTTTGGATCTGATGGTCCTCTCAAAGGAAACAGACTTGAAAGGCCTGGGTCTAATCCTGAGAATGCCATGAATGTTTAAACCCAAAAAAAGATAACAAGAGCAAAGCAGATTAACAAAACTCCAATAAAAGCAGACCACTTTTACCTGCTACTAGCCAGTAGACTGTGGCCATACTATCAGCCAGATCTTGAGACAGTAATTTGTGACTTGCATCCATGCCTTACTATTGCAATTCACTATATCTGGGCATGAAATCAAACATCTAAAAAAAAAGACTCAACTGGTATAAAATGCAGCAGCTCATCTACTTAGCAATATAGGTCACTGAATACATCATCCTGATGTTCCACTCTCTACAATGGCTTCACATCAAACACTGAGTTAAATTCAATGACTCTTGCCATATAGTTATAGCTTTTTATGTTTGCCTTAAAGTAAACAATCACATTTCTCTGTCAGTATGACCTCTCCCAACAGCTATGCTCCACCAAAATTATAGAATTATTAAACAGCTGACTGGTCGGAGGGAGGGATGGGTCTCAACAGTTCATGAGATAAAATATCAACAGGAACCAAAACCATACACTGGAACTCATCCCACTAATTACTCAAACCTATGGCCTCAAGAGCTAAATACCAAACACACTGTACATTTTAGCTCATCCACAGCACTAATACATTTATGGGGGGCAAAAGCAGGAAAAAGGGGGGACAATACTCCTTTCAGGCTACTCCTGCAGGCGAAGAAGATAGAGACCACGAAAGAGCTTTGCATCTCCTTTTTTCTTTTGGCTAAATGAGAGGCGCACAGGTACTACTATGAAAAGGGCCATGGATAGATTCATGGGATCAGATAGATTCACAGGAGGGCTGGGCACACAGGGAATAAAAAGTGATAGGGATGCAGCCTTGTTAGTCTGGTCTAGTTGAAACCTCATCCCAGGCTATGAAGAGCTTAAAAAAGTATAACTAGCATACTAAAATATGTAGAGCCCTGCAAATGTGCAGATATCTGTGGTTTATTTTTGCAGATATGGATACAAATTTTGTATCTAGATCCTGCAAATCTGCACACATCTGCTTTATAACTGTGGGTTTGCACATCCACAGATCATCTTTGCAGATGTAGATATCAATTTTAGATCCACATGGGGCTCTAAAATATGCTTAAAACTGAAAAGGCAGCAGGTGCAGATTATGAAGCTCTGATGTTACATGATTATAATTGTTTACCTCACTCAGCCAAGACCATACTTTTTCACTACTAGCCTCAACTTCAATATGCCTTCAGGGGTAGACCAAACAGAAGGTACTGCAGTAATTCCAGCTTTCATTTTACAGAGGATTGGTCACAACAGCCAAGTTTAAATTAGAGAGAAAACTGTCAAAATGTGTGTTGTAGCTATTGAGAATCCAGTAGCAGCAATTAATAGTATGAGCAAAGGTTTGACATACACTTTCAAAGGAAGACACTCTCAGAACGCTAGCCTTTGAGATGCTTAGCTATACTTACCAACATCAGTACCCAGTTATATTGATTCGATCTAAGAGTTCTCTCCCATCCATATTTGCAAAGCTGTGGGAAAATAGACACCACAGTACCAGGACTCCACACAGAGAAGAAGACTCAGTATCTCAAAAACTTCTCATGACTTCTACTGGCTATACCTTAAATAGGAGGCATAATAGACAGAACCCTAAGGAACACTTCATACAAGAGCCAGTAGAAGTTGAAAAGGTTCTCTCTCTCTCTCTCATGTTCAAGTCTTTTGAAAAGAAATAATGAGCTAACTGACCTGCCTTTCTATTTAGCCTGGAAGACTCCACAGGTGAATCAGCAAATCTTTGTGACCAATATTATCAAAGACAAGGCTGGCAGGAACATCTGAAGGAAAGAACATCTGCAATTTCTTACTAAACATCTTCAAAAATGGAAGGTTATAAACAGTGTTGTCAATGATAATGTCATTAATATTAAAAGGTAGCTCTCTGAACAGAGGCTTTACCACTGATATTGAAGGGCAGTTAGCAACCTGGCTTTCAAAAGGAAAACTTTAACAATTTGCCATCAATTATAAATTTAAATCTGCCCCATTTTTAGACAGAGCCAGCTTAATCAGTAGAAGTGCAATTGATCTTTCCAGTAAAAGAGCTAGACATTGTCTCATACTGAAACTAAAAAAGTCGAACAGCATTAAGAAAAATAGGCTTCAACATTTGGAACAATTATAATAGATGAGACTTTGCTGATTTTATAGCAAAGAAAAGGAGTCACTTTTACAGTATGTCTTTGTCACCACTTCAGCATAGGAATGTAAAAATTCTTTATGCTGCAATCAGTCTGATTCAGAGTGAACCTTTCACCAGTGGTACTCTGACTTCTTTCCTTCATCAGTTCCTCCATCAACTGTATGTCATTCAGAAACCACAGTGATCTGATAGCGCATAAAGACATAGATCTCTAACTGCTAGCCTATCAGTGTTTGTGGATAAAAACTTACCATAAAAATCCAGTGAACTACAGACAGTCCCCGGGTTACGTACAAGATAGGGACTGTAGGTTTGTTCTTAAGTTGAATTTGTATGTAAGTCGGAACTGGTACATATTGTAGGGGAAACTCTAGACAAACATTTCTCCAGAGCTCAGTTTTATTCTCCCACACCTCACTTCCCTCAGTCCTTTATTCTCAAGCTGAGGTGTCTGCTGAGAAAAGCCGCTCCGCGTCGCCCTGGTCTGCTGGGGGGGCGCTAGCTTCGCGTCTCCCTGGTCTGCTGGGAGGAAGCAGCTAGTGCGGGGTTGCCTCACCCCGTTTGTAAGTAGGGATCCGATGTAAGTCGGATCCATGTAACCCGGGGACTGCCTGTACTTTGCTAATGGTAAAGTAGTACAGTCCATAGTATTTGACAATAAGTATCCTAGTCTCCCTTTAAGGCCGGGGTGGGGAACCGCCACTGTATTAGTCGCACAGAGTTTAAGGTGAGCCACCGGCAGGCCATGAGGTCATTTGTTTACCTGAGTGTCTGGAGGCAAAGCCACTTGCAAACTCCCAGTGGCCATGGTTTGCTGTTCCTAGCCAATGGAAGCAGTAGGAAGCAGTGGTCCAGCCCACATTGTCTCCTGCAACTCCCATTGACCAGAAACAACAAACCATGGCCACTGGGAACTGAGGGGCTCCGTTCCTATGGACACTCAATTAGACAAACCGTCAGGAGGCCCAACAATGACTAACCCTGATGACTTGTGTGTGGCTGGAGTGCCAGAGGTTCCACAACCCTGCTTTAAGGCTTTCTATATTCTCAATTAAAACCTATAGCAAAAGTGCACATGTATTTTTTCCCACCTTTTGAACGGATAACATTTATAAACATTAGGAAAAGGAAATGGGTTATGAAGTTGTGAAGACAAACACACCTAAAAGATGTGTGTGCCGACAGAACCCTAGCTTGTCAAAATGAAAAAAATTTGATTCATGGAGAAAAAAGGTAGAAGACAGCTAACTAAATACATATATTCTATCTACGCGCTAAGGTCATGTCTTCACTTGCAAGAAGATCAATGCTGTGTCAATTGATCTAGCAGAGTTTGATTTTATAGGTCTAGTTAGGAGGGTGGTACTCCTACTCCTATTGAGGAGAAAAGGAAGTCAATGAGAGCATTTCTCCCATTGATCTGTCACTGTAAGGATAGTGCCAAAGCTCTTCTTAAGATGCATCAACTCCACCTAAGATTTTTATGTAACTGGAATTACATACCTAAGCCAACCTTCCCCTGTTGTGTGGACCTGGCCTAAGAGTTTGATTGGAATGCACCAGAATCTTGGACAATACCTTTTCTCATAAATCATTAAAGAAGCAGAATACTGAGATCAGCAGTAAGGGGTGGGATGGGGTGTAAACCCAATCACAGAATCATAGACTACTAAAACTGGAAGGGACCTCGAGAGAGCATCAAGTTCAGTCCCCTACTTGCATAGCAGGACCAAGCACTGTCTAGATCATTTCTGATAGAGGTCTATCCAACCTGCTCTTAAATATCTCCAGTGATGGAGATTCCACAATCTCCCAAGGCAATTTATTTCAGTGTTTAACTACCCTGACAGCTAGGAAGTTTTTCCTAATGTCCAACCTAAACCTCCCTTGCTGTAATTTAAGTCTGTTGCTTCTTCTCCTATCATGAGAGGCTAATGAGAATCTCATTCCTCCTTGTAACACCTTTTTAGATACTTGAAAACTGCTATCATGTCCCCTATCAGTCTTCTCTTTTCTAAACTAAACAAGCCCAATTCTTTCAGTCTTCCCTCATAGCTCATGTTTTTTAGGCCGTTAGTAATTTTTGTTGCTCTTCTCTGGATTCTCTCCAATATCTCCACATCTTTCTTGAAATGTGGCACCCAGAACTAGACACAATACTCCAACTGAGGCCTAATCAGTGCAGAGTAGAGCAGAAGAATGACTTCTCATGTCTTGCTCACAACACGCCTGTTAATGCATCCCAGAATCATGTTTTCTTTTTTTTTTTTTGGCAATTGTCACACTGTTCACTCATGTTTAGCTTGTGGTCCACTATGACCCCTAGATCCCTTTCTGCTGTACTCCTTCCCATTCTGTATGTGTGAAACTGATTGTTCTTTCCTAAGTGGAGTACTTTGCATTTGTGCTTATTCAACTTCATTCTATTTACCTGAGACCATTTCCCTAGTTTGTCCAGATCATTTTGAATTATTACCCTATCCTCCAAAGCACTTGCAACCCCTCCCAGCTTTGTATCATCTTCAAACTTAATAGTACTCTCTATGCCGTCATCTAAATCATTGATGAAAATATTGAACAGAACCGGTCCCAAAACAGATCCCTGCAGAAGTCCACTTGTTATGCCCTTCCAGCAGGATTTGTGAACCATTAATAACTACTGAGAATGGTTATCCAGCCAGTTATACACCCACCTAATAGTAGCACCATCTAGGTTATTATTTTCCTAGTGTATTGATAAGGTCATGTGAGACCATATCAAATACTTTAGTAAATTCTAGGTATACCACATCCACTGCTTCTCCCTTATCCACAAGGATTGATATCCTATCAAAGAAAGCTATCAGATTGATTTGACTTAATTTCTTCATGACAAATCCATGCTGGGTGTTACCTATCACCTTATTTTCTTCCAGATGTTTGCAGATTAACTTCTATACCAGGGAAGATAATAAAAAAGTAATTAAGGAATTAAACTGACTGGTCTGTAGTTTCCTGGGTTGTTCTTATTACTTCTAGGCTGTGTCTACACTGGCATCCCTTTCCGGAAAAGGGATGCTAATGAGACACTTTAGAATAGCAAAATTCACGGGGGATTTAAATATCCTCCATGGTATTTGCATTAACATGGCTGCCGCTTTTTTCCGGCTTGGGGATAAGAAGGAGAAAAGCGGCAGTCTAGACGTGATTCTCCGGAAAATAAACCCTTTTCCAGAGGATCTTTTATTCCTACTTTTAAGATCCTCCGGAAAAGGGGTTATTTTCCGGAGTATCACGTCTAGACTGGCGCTTTTCTCCGGCTTATCCCCAAGCCGGAAAAAAGCGGCAGCCATGTTAATGCAAATACCGCGGGGGATATTTAAATCCCCCGTGGATTTTGCTATTCCAAAGTGTCTCATTAGCATCCCTTTTCCGGAAAGGGATGCCAGTGTAGACACAGCCCTATAGATTAGCCCTTTTCCAGTTTTCTGGTATCTGTCCCAATTTCCATGACTTTTCAAAGATGGAAGGCTCAGATACCTCTTCTGTCAGCTCCTTGAATATTTTAGGATGCATTTCATCAGTCCCTGGTAACTTGAAGACTTCTAACTTTTCTAAATAGTTTTTGACTTGTTCTTTTTTTATTTTAACTTTTAAACCTAACCCCTTTCCACTAGCATTCACTATGTTAGGTATCCCATCACCATCAATCTTCTTGCCAAAAAAAAGAAACAAAAGTCATTAAGCACCTCTGCCATTTCCAAGTTTCCTTTTATTGTTTCTCCCTCTTCACTGAGCAATGGGCCTGTGTTGTCCTTGATCTTCCTCTTTCTTCTAAAATAACTGTAGACATAAAGAGTAACAAGAAGACAAATTGAGCTCGTTTTGTGCCTTCGCCTTTCTAATCTTGCTCCTGCATACTTGTGGTGTTTGCTTATATTCATCCTTTGTAATTTGACCTAGTTTCTAATTTTTATACAATTCCTTTCTGATCTTTAGATCATGTAAGATCTCCTGGTTAAGCCAGCATGATCTTTTACTATACTTTCTATCTTTCCTATGCAGTGGTATGGTTTGCTTTTGGGCCCTTAATAACATCCCTTCAAAAAACTGCCAACTCTCTTAAAACCTTGCCTACTAGATCTCCGAGTTTATTAAAATCTGCCTTCCTGAAATCCATTGACTCTATTTTGCTGTTCTCCCTTTTACCATTCCTTACAATCATGAACTCTGATTTCATGATCACTTTCATCCAAGCTGCTTTCCACTTTCAAATTCTTAACCAGTTCCTCCTTGTTAAAATCGAATCTAGACCAGCTTCTCCCTAGAAGCTCTTTCAACCATCTAAAATAAAAATTTGTCTCCAATGCAGTCCAGTAACTTATTGAATAATCTGTGCCCTACTGTTTTAGTTTCCCAACATATGTCTGGATAGTTGAAGTCCCCCATCACTACCAAAACCCCTGTGCTTTGGATGATTTTGTTGGTTATTTTAAAAAAGCCTCATCCACCTCTTGTGCCTGGGTAGGTGGTCTGTTATTTACTTCTTTTAACCTAACCCAGAGACTCTTGACAAGTCTGTCTCCTACGTCCTTCTCCACCTCAGCCCCAGAGTATACATTTTTATAAGGCAACACTGCCTCCTTTTTTTCCCCTGCCTATCCTTCCTAAGCAAGCTGTACCCTTCTATACCAATATTCTAGTTGTGTTTATTATGCCACCAAGTCTCTGTGATACCAACTATACCAATGATTTGTCATATGGAACTTGGATACTTTTTTTCCCTCCCCAAACCAAAGTACAACATTGTAGATTAATACATTAGTGATGGGAAGTGTGAAAACATCACTTTGTCTGGTCTTGACTTTGACTGGGCATATAAAGCTAAATCTGAAAAAGATGTTTTTCTACATAGATCCTATATTTTGTTGCGTTTGTGGAAATAATCATTTGACTGATTAAAAAGCTCTACAAGCCAAACTGACAATGGCATTTACCATCATTATTTTTGGATCCTTCTATCTGACTTATTTCATTTTTTAAAAGATCCACACTTGCCTTTACCCCTGGAAATAAAATGAGTTGTTTGGTACTGTAATCAAGGTTTGGTCTAAGTACAGAGTTAAGTCAACGCAAGGCAGCTTATGGTGACCTATGTCAGTATACCCACTACAGCCATAAAATTGAGAAGAAAGGTTGGTAGGTTCCCTGTTATGAACCCTGAACCTGGCTCTCCCATTCAGGCTATCATCCTAAGGAGGCTGGGGGTTCCTTATAGATCCTGCCAGCAGCTTGCTCCCAGCAGGCTACAGCCCAGGATCTCCTCTCCCTGCTGG